GGGAGAGAGGGAGAGGCTGGGGTGGCAGGGCAGTGTAGGGGTGGGAGGGGGCGGGATAGCAGGACTGTGGGGGAGGGTGGTGAGATGTAGGGTTGGTATTGAGTGAATGTATATGCGAGGGCAGGACATTGTGTGCATGCCCTGCCTCGTGTGTGTGAAGGCTGTGTGTGTGTGGGGGAGGAGGAGGGGGGGTTGTTTGCAACCCATGGTGCAGTTTGGGTTTAAGTGGGGCTCAACACAGGGCCCTTGAGTAGGAGCCAAAACAAAAAAAGTACAGTAGAGTCCGGATTATCCGATCTTCGGTAATCCGACATTCCGCTTTATCCGACGCTGCAGCTCCCGGGGACAAAGCGGTGCCAGCAGGAGCGGCATCAGCACCTCCAGGGCACGTTCCCAGAGAATGGCCCCATTCACTGCCCCGTCACTCTCCTGCACTACTTGAATAAACATGCTTGTACACAACTCTCTACTATGAATAGGAACACAGTTATAACAGTTTAAATACATTTTTTTCTTGCCAGTATGGATGGAAAAACAGCTCTCTAAATATATTAAGATTAAGCCCCTTATTTTCTTTTCCTCACTGATAAGAAGCCATGTTGGTACTACTAAAGAGTTGGACTCCACAGTGCTGAGAATTGAAGAAAATGGAACAGAAGACATTCTCTGTCCCATAGAGCATAGTCTACAGTGAGCTTTACAAGTGTAGACTCCATCAAAGAGTTTATTATAGGATTGGGGTTTAAGGATAAGATGTTACTGCTGAGTATAGGACATATTGGTGGGAGGAGAGAAGCCACAGGTAACAATGATAGGAACACAAAGTTACAAATATTAGCTAACTGTAAGCTAGGTTTTTCTATTTTTGAATGTAAGTAAACAAGAGGGTGATTAATGAATCACTAAAGAATTATCTGATTGATTTTAACAAAGATGCTCTGGAGCATGGTAGAGAATCACGTGCTAGCATGTGTAGTTAGGACTTTAGACAAGACCTGGCTTTAAAATTCCAGATTCTTTATTCAACTTTTTAACTATACAAACACAACAGATAGCATATAACTGGTGTACCTGATAATTTATGCTATTACATATTTTTGTGCTGATTATACTCCTTTATTATATTAGTTCTGATGTATTTAAGTTGAGCCCCATCCATCCATCACCAACTGCTTTTTAAGATCAGCACAGGATTACTACAACTGAAGATGCTACAGTCATTTGGCCAATATAATGTTTTACATTTCTTGAGTATTATCAGTGTCTTTTGCAGTTGCCTTAGTCCCATGTAATTCCCAGAGATCGCTGGTAAAGCACCTGGGTTGATTTATAAAACTAACTCATGTTTTGTTTTAATTAATGTAATGAAAACAGACTAGATAAATTCAGTAGAATTCTGGTTCATATTCCAGTAGGTGTGTGTACTTTAATAATGATCACACAATATAAAGAAATTATTTTTTCAAAAACTGTTCTCATATGTGCTTTAAAATATTAATACTATGGTACTGTAATTGCTACCCATTATAAAATAAAAATAACCACCCCAAACATGTCCTTTCTGAGGCTGAGACTCTTTGTAGTGTATCTTTAGAAATTGATGTCTGACATAAAAGGAAACCATTTTGTCCATATAGAAATACCCAGTAGAGGGCCACCTTCTTTAAAAACACTCCATCAATGTATGAAATTAAGGATGTAAGGCAAATTTTCTCAAAGCAGGTGCCTAAAATTAAGCACTAAAACCACAGTAAGGCTTATAAAGGTTAATATTGAGATATTACAATGATTAGCAATACAGAAAACATAAGAAATTGACACATTTTCAGAGGTGCTGAGTACCTCAAACAGCATTGGAAGTATTGATAGTTATGATTTATATATGGAAGTATTTTATGACAGTTTATACATTTTATGCAAGATTTTTCACAGCAATCTGAGAGTACACATTTATACATGCTGGACCATAGTCATACTTCATGTAAGTGACTGCAACACCATTTATCACACAGATGTCTACTTTTACCCAGGTTAAATTCGTGTTATAACATTAAAAAAAAAGAAAGTACAATAAGACTTTACATTGCATTTATTATACATTTCTATTTACAGGATAGCCTTGGTATAAGGAATTTTACATGTACCAAGCAGGAATCATAAAGATATTTATAAACATTTATGGTGTTTCCACTTCCGTGTGGCCAAAGTCAGCTGGGAGTCCCTCCTCTGCCAGCGGTAAACTTGGTTTACTAAAACGGTACCCTCTTCAATATTCCCCACAATGACATACACCATGGGGCGGTAGGTCTGGGTCATCTTCTGAGTACAATTTTCATTTATAAGTAACCACTGTTGTATCATGTTCCGAGTATCATAAGGCAATAGTAAACCTTGATTGATGAATTCCACTTGGCATTCAATATTATACTCCTGATCACCAGAAACTGTTCTCTTTTTGGACAACTTTACCTTCACCGCTATGGGGAAAAACACATAAATTATGTTAACTATTTAAATATAGTAAAGAATACTGCCTCAGGATCAGTGGAAGAATCCATACTGTACTCTACAGTAGAGATATTAAATATCAGTTAATTGGATAGTCAGTTAACCTCATGAATTCTTATTGGTTACTCGGCTAGTCTATAGTCCCTGGAGGTGAGGCTGGCAACCAGTGTGTTCTGGCCCCACTCCTGAGGAGCCCTCTGCAACTCTGCTGCTGCCTCTGTATCAGAGGCAGCAGTGCAGGGTGCTAGGTGGGAGCTGGTCCGCGAGGGGTGTCAGCAGCTCCTGTCTGTGGGGAGGGAGAAGCTGAGCTCCTGGACCTGGCGTGAGCTGGAACTAAGCCAGACTGCCTGCCTGCCTGGCTCCTAATACACTTTAAATGCAGAGCCACAGTGGGGGTAGGTCCCAGACCTGGTACAAACAAGGACTGAACTGTCCAGCCTGCTAAAAAATTTATTGTTGGGGTGAGAGGGAGGAGAATGCATGTAGTTTATAGCATTAACCTATAAGCTTTTGCTTATCAGTTAATCGGTTTATCAACTACACTATTACATCCCTACTTCACAGTGTGTGCACGGATGGATCTGACTGCAGAGTTGGCGTCCTTAATCTTCTGAAGCAATGGAAAGCTGCAATACAACAGGGGTGCGTCTAGACTGGCAAGATTTTGCGCAAAAGCTGTCTACACTGGCCACTTAAATTTGCGCAAGAGCCCTGACTTTGTAATGTACAAAATCAGTGCTTCTTGCACAAATACTTTCACGCTCCCGCTCAGGGATAAGCCATCTTGCGCAAGAGGGCCAGTGTAGACAGGCACCTTAATTTTTTGTGCAAGAAAGCCCAATGGCTTAAAATGGCCCTGGAGGAGGGTGTGTTGCATGACCTGGCGCAGCCCAGGCTCTTCATCCCCAGTGCACCAGGTGAGGAAGGAGGGCGCTCCACACAGCATAGCCTCTCCAGTCCCAGGGAGGGAGGAGGGCAGAGGGTACATGGAATGTGTGTAGTCTATAGCATTCACCTATAAGCTTTTGCTTATTGGTTAATTGACCACACTGTTATAGCCCCAATCTACAGTATTAGGCCATACTTTAGTTCTAGGTCATTGCAATAAATCAGGGTAGTATTTTTTGTAAAGAGGAACATAGGTAAGAAATTTTTCGCTGAATCACACAACCAGAAAAACGTAACAGTCTTATAAAGAGCAATATAAGGTATCTTTAGTGACACTGCATTTGTCCAGCTACTTACATGACCAGCTGTTCCAGCACACTGATATCATTCCAGCTTTGTAGGGCAGCCTATGTGTCCTAGGCGTTCCTAGTGAAATTGCGGCTTTCTCCGTTTTTCAGTAGAATCAGCCAGCAAAATATCTGGCTACTCCTGCCTGTTCTTTGCACCATCTTTAGTTCTTCTCCTTCTCAATAAAGCTTCCCACTCAGCTCTCTCCCCACCTCTAACTTTATTGTTGCTTTTCCACACACATTTTCCTTAAGACCTGGTTGAAAATCAACTGAAGTCAATGAAAGTCTTTGCACTGATTTCTGTGGGCTCTGGGAGAGACTTCTATCTGTAATCTCACAGAATTGCCAGTGAAAGCCCCACAAGGGAGCAGACAGAACTTTCAAAACCTCATTACGTAAGCCTTTGTTTAATATTCCAATGTACTGAATCTTGCTTTGAGTGGTTAACAGGAAAAATGCTCATGCACACAACCAGTAAGGAACTTTCATCTTTTAAAATCAAACATCCAAGTGTCTCAGCTTTCTTTTGCTTTAGCTACCAATAAAAGCCACTTCTCTCCTTTGCCACAGATTTATCCATAAAATACACTGCAGTAAAGTACAACATACTTGACTAGAATAAAAGAGCTACTTTGTTATAAAATAGACAATAAGGCAACATCATTATTCAAAAGAAATGGGACCTATGTGTATATTTCTATAGGAAAAAGAAGTTCCATAAACTATTTGCTTGGAGCTAAATTCTGACTCCCTTGAAATTGATGACCAAACTCTCATTGATTTCAATAGGATCAGGACTAAGCCCTTGATGTCCCCTCAGAAACTACCAATTATATTTGAAGTGACAAAATGTGTCCACTTATCAGTAATCAAAAGAATATTGTGTCTACAATCATATACATATTAACAAGAACTTACCAAAGTTATTGGCACAGAAAACATCTAGTACTCTTTTCTGTGTAAAGATTTCCTCCACTGTTGGACAGGTCTGGCATATTGGCTTTGGCAATTCTGGTAAGAAATATTAAAGTATATTATTGAATATTGTTTAGTCCTTAGAATTTGGTGCCAATGAAAGGTATTAAAGTGATAGGCCTGAAAAGTGACTCCTCCATTTAACCACTGAATACATGTGACATAGGTAATGGTACCACAAGCTTCCAGACAAGTGCTCTGAAAATGGGCCACTTCTAGGGTTGAAAGGAGTTTCATTTTCCATGTCTTTTCAGTCCTTGCTAAGAGTGGCCAAGGTACCAGCTTATATTAATTATGGAATTACTTTAATATAAAGTTGTGGTTTTATGTGTGTGTATTGGAACAATTCTATTGGTGATGCTGGGTTAAATCCACCAGAAGGAAGATCTTGTGATTAAGACACTGGTCAAGGGTCCAAGGAAATGGTATTGGTTCTGCTAGGCAAGTCACTGGTGGCCAGATTTTCAGAGGTGACTCCTGTAGGAACTGTTAGATATAGAAATCTGAGCATTAATTTCTCCGTGTCTCAGTCTCCCAGCAGTAAAGTGGGAATTCTTCCCTATCTCAGCTTTTGTTAGGACAAATTTATCGTGTATATGAATGCTCAGATACATGGTGATGAAGGCCATACAAACTCCTATCAGTAAAAAAATAAAATACATTGAGCTCTATTGATGCAATGGGGATTATGCTGCATATATGCATGATTGTAATAGCTTTCCTCTTTCCTTGACCATCCTTCCTTGACTTCAGCGGAGTTACACTGATTATACCAATAAAAAATCTGATGCAATTTAAAGGACTTCACAGGATCAAGTGCAAAATGGATCTGAATGCAGGCACAAAGTGGATAAATGTGCATTCATGGTAATGACTGTTTACAAAAGAAACTGTTTTTCGAAATGTATCCCTAAAGTTGAATTGGATTGATTCTGTGCATTTGATTTTAAGACCTCGCAGCCACTCCCACCCATCTATTCCATTTACCTTTATGAATATGTTTGTAGTCTTTGCTAAGAGGTGCTAGACACATGTCCTCAGCAGCAGAGAAACGATCACAGTCCAAACTGTCAGGCCAAGACTGTCCATGGCAGAGGAGCACAGGAGCACAGCTGTCACGAACTGCGACACACATACTCCTACAAGGATGGATGAAGCTGTGAAAAAGTAAATGTCAGGTTCAATCAGTTACATTTCCTAGAAGTCTATGACAATAGCGAGGATTCCTACAGTAAATTTTGCACAAAGTTGTGCAAATCTTTCCTACAGGTCAGTGTTTAACATCTGCCTCCATGATGGTGCAATTCTACACAGCAACTGCTGATGTTCTATATCTGGGCCCTGGGCTGGGTTGTAAAACTCATGCATAGTTTTATTTTTATAGCAGCAGCAATGACCCACTCCTGTGCCCAATAAAGCATTTTGGCAGTAGTTGGACTGGGATGTAAATTATTGAATGAATAACACTGCAATCTTAACAAAAATACAATCCAGCAATGTTTGATCTGAACTCTCCTTTTTTTTAAATTATGACCAATATTTAACTGGAACATTTTTGTGTGGAATTTCTTCCTGGAACAGGCAGGCAAAAAAAAAAAAAAAAAAAAAAGGTTAATAAATGTGCTTCAGCAAAAGAGAAACAAATGGGCAGAAAATTACCTTACATTTAAAATTAACAACATCATTCATATTTATACCTGTTCAGGTACACAAAACAGGATTTTAGAATGTGGTATTGTACTTACGTATCTAAGCAGACTGGTGCAAACAGAGAACACAAGAATGTCCTTGCATGAGGGTGGCAGCCAGTTTGTACAATATGCTGCCATTTGGTGGATTTTAGAATAACATCACCCATATTTGTGTGTCCCATCAGGTTGGGAAGTCTCATTTCAGAATAACCAATGCTGTGGCACATGCTCATCTCCATAGGTATCATTACACATTTAGTGGATAATCCAATGTCAAAACCCATGGTCAGTTTTAAGAAGCCACTCAGAGTAAAGGCAAGCATCTGTGCTGCAGGAACCATCTTTGAGTGATGCCTGAGCTGCTGAATACAGAGTTGTCAAGTCTCTCAGCAGCATTCAGACACACAAGGCTGGTGGTTTATATACACCAAGAGCTCACTGCCCCATTCATTATCAATGGTTTATCAAAACACTCAAGACAAGACCTAGGCTTATTGCCCATTCTAGTCATTGTTGTGATAAACAGGGAGGTGGAGACAACTTTCCTTAATTGCAAAAATTTACATACGGGATTTCATGAGTCTGAAAATGTCAGTGTTGTATGCAATATGGCATATTAAAGCGTGACACATGGTAGTTTTGGAATGTGCATACTACATCAAATTAAGTGATACCCTAGAAAAGTACTTGACAGACAGGCTGTCTCCTGGGGTTGGTGTGTCTCTGTTTGCAGACACTGCTGATTTGGCAGAAAAAAACAACAACCCAGGTTGACTTATCAAGTGAAAATGTTTTGCTTTTGGTAATTGCCCCATGTCTCTTGCACTGTTTTACAACTTTAAAAGGCAATTTCTTTATGTGGTCAAGTACTACAAAGGAGACAGCTTTCTGTCAGTAAGAGAATATTTTGTTTGGAAAGTTTACTTAGGTCCCAATCCCATGAAGTGCTAAATGCACCACAACTACTATTGATTTCTATAGGATTCACAGAACTGAGGCTTAACACAGAACTTACTCTATTGTTTATTGAGTAGAATATCCAGGCACAGGGCTATACATTTAGCTATGGAACTTTCATCATTCATTGACTAAATTATCAGAAGGTATGTTCAAGTTCAATGACTGTGGAAATCTTTTCCTAAATGGATAGTATAGGACCAAATATGGCTTATAATTTATACAAGACTCTGGGTTAGGTTGAGATGAAAGATGGTACACATTTAAGGCATTCAGATTATTATGTATTTTAATTAGTTTATTAAACTATTAGCATTTCAATACTTTAAAATGTATAACTGCAAACACCAGTTTTTTAACACAGTTCTGTTGTCAGTTTTATTAATTAAAAATAAATAGAATTTCTGACACTGCTAATAGCATTACAAAGGGTGCCAGATACACAAGAAAAGGGAGCAAACCAGTTGAGTATGTATAAGAGCTGGCTTACAGCTTACATAATGCTGCTGGAAAAAAAAGAGTTGAAAATTTAGTTTCAAACTTTAGACAAAAAATTCATGGAAATTTTATATATGTTGATTTTTCCATCAGTTTTTTAACTTTTTCATTTCTTATCACTTGATCAATTTCTCCTTAAAGAATTCATTTGTTAATCAGAAACACACACAGCAATTGGTCTTTTTTATAATATATAAACTAATTTCAATAAGTTTTTAGATATTAATAAAATGTTGGGTTCTAATCACAATAAATCTGCTACAAAGTGCTTTTGCTCTAATAAATAGATGTGTACAAATTTAAAACATAGGTTAATAGTTTTTTGAAAGGCTCAGACACAATAGTTTTCATTTAAAATAGACTATTCCAAAATGTTTTCGGACCTCTAGCAGCATCAGATTTTAGAAAGATAACACTAGACATCATGCATCCAGTTATGTGTAAATGTCTAGAGGTAATATCCTAAACCCATTGAAATCCATGACAGAACTCACTGACTTCAGTGGGGTCCAGATTTCACCATATATGTTTGTCATATAGTTTGTATGTTTAAACACCCTGAAAAATGACAACATAAACATTCTCAGGGAGCTTTGGAAAACCAAATGTTCCATGGATTTTTTTTTCTTTTACTGTCTTGTTTCTTGCTCCTTGTTTCTGAGCACAAATGTAGTTTATTTGTATCTGTTTCCATTTCCTCAGACCACAGAAGACCAATACAAATAAGACTGATTAGGGCTAACGTAGGGAAACACCTCAAATCCTTATTTATTAGCATCAGATTAATCAAGTGCTCTGTCTACTTCAACTCAAATTTAGGAGCACATTTAAACTCAGTAAAAAATTAGTTCCAAAGAAATTGGTTTAAGTATCATCAACTTCATTAGAGTCAGGTTTTTACCTGTTGGCTTTAGAGTTACTTTGCAATAATAGTGCTGGACACAGCTGCCTTAAACACAATGGTACGTCTACTCTGCACGGCTAAATAGCTACCCCACATCTACCCAAGCTGCCCACTATTTCAAAATACTTTTCGAAATAACGGGTGTGCTATTTCAATATCCCAGTATTCCTCATTCCATAACAGTTAAGGGATGTCTCGAAATAGCACATTATTTTGAAATTTAGCACTGTGTAGATGCACCAAATTTCAAATTTCAAAATAGATTTGAAATAAAATATGCAATTTGCGTATCGCAAATTGTGTATCTTATTTTGAGTTTAGGGTGCTGTGTAGACGCATCCCAGGAGAATTTGGGCCTGAGTTTCAAACTCTTTAAGCTGCCTTCTTGGTGCCAAATAGTAATTTTTGTTGTCAGAAGGGGCTCATGATGCAATGAAGTTTGAGAACCCCTGCTTAGCTTTTTTAGTTTTTGTTAATCAACAAGCAGTGCTCACAGAGCCTTAGTGTGTTCATTGACTTTGATAAACACATAATCCTTCTGCTTGATATTTGTCACTGCTTTTGGTTTGAGGCAAGAACTGAAATCTTTCCTTAGTGTTCCATAGCTCCAGTTATTTTTGCTGGCTGCCTTCTGTGTGAAAACAAAGTCCTGGAATTGGGCTCTTGATTCTGTTGCACCTTGATAATCATTTAGTTCAAGGATATATTAGCTGAATCAAATTGGTCATCCAGGGATGTTCTCAGCAGCATCATTTCTGAGTTAAGACTTTGCCATTCTGGCACTTCAGTTCATACACTCACACTTCTGTCTTATGTACAAGGATCTTAGCTATATTTGTTTGTAGACCTCAATACAATCTATACTGGGATTATATACTGATGTCCATCATTGTATCATGTGAGTATCTTGCATGTGGCCAGTAACAACAGCCACATCTCTAGTGGATAGTTGGAGTCCCTTCTTGCGGATTAAAAATCTAATCTATGCATAAGGGGGAAGTGGTTGTTGATTTGCTTGTTTGCATTTTTTGTTCGTTTTTAATTTTTAGTTTTCTAATGTATTTATTTGGTTTTAAAAAATTTTGTGTGCAAAAATGGGACCCTATTTAGATAGATGAAGTGTCATGCTTGTTCAGAGGAAAGATTCTTAGAAAGAAGCAGATTTTTGTAGCATTTTCTAAAGATGGTCAGACTCAGGATTTACCTAATCTCACACAGCAGTTCATTTTAGAACCAGATCCCCTTCACTGAGAATGCTTTGTTCCCTGTAAGTAAATAATAATAGGAACAAATATGCTGAATATTAAGAATATTTAACAGGATGATTTAAGGAAGACATAACTACAGGAGAGTGTACTGAATTATGTCAGCCCCTTTTCAAGTAAAAGTAGTTCCAAAGATGCTTTATTCATATGCTTTAACATAAGCCAAAGATCTGTTAATTTGGATGAAAGTAAACAGCAAATACATGCCAATTGTTTGTAGTCCATCCAGAAAGTAAACAAGGTAATCTTGTCTGTTCCCAGCACTTTCTTTGTCTGTGGCCTGTAGTCGGCTACTGATTAGCATGATAAGACAAAAACACATCAAGAGATGAAAATTATGTCTGGCCTCTGGCTGTTACTGGAGATAGCTCAATCAGTTAAGAAAGTACAACTTTTAGGTGGGGACTCACTTGGCTCCATTAAGCTTGTAGCTGCCCTTTCAACTGTGCTTGCCAGTTTCCTGAATCTTACTTCAAATTACTCTACCAGGTTCCTGGAGGGAAAAAAATTGTGGCTTGGTATTTATAATAACAAGCATTGGGCCAATGTAACCTCGTAGGGACTTAATCATGTGTTTGAAAAGAGAAACATAATCTTAAATATGTTGGGGTGCTCTGGGGAGCCAGGAAGCTCAGTGGGATGGCAGGGCAGGATGTGGAGCTGGCAAAGAGGGGCGAGAAATCAGAAATGACCTCCTCTGGTCCAGCAAAATCCCTCATCCAAGACATCAGGTCCCAAGAGTGCCAGACAGGGCCAGCTTTAGGCCGATTCACCCGATTCCCCTGAATCAGGCCCCATGCCTAAAAGGGCCCCGCACCCTAAAGCCAGAGGGCCCCGCATCCTAAACCAGGAAGTGTGCTGGCGTGCTGGGTGCACTCCGGATGGAGCGTCGGTCCTGGAGGAGGAGTGCGGCAGCTTCTGTGCACAACAGGAGGGGGAGTCAGCCCCTGGATTTGGCTGGAAGTTGGGACTCTGCCCTGTAGCTGGGAATTTAAAGGGGCTGTGACTTTTTTCTTTGTGTGCTGGTTTGTTTTGGGTTTTTTTGCTCAACCAGAATTTGTGTGTGGTTTTTTTTTTGGTCAACAAAAAATCCTGGCTGCCGGGACCACGTTGAAATGGTTTGAATTGGGCACCGCACTTCCCAGACTACGAAGGTCTAGCCTGTAGTTTAGATCAGTAGCTCATGGTAGCATAGATGAGATCTGAGTCTATGTGTAAAGACCTACCAGAGTAGCAGTATGTACATGTAGCTAGGCCTTGCATACACTACCAAGTTATGTCAGTGTAACTACATCACCAAGTGACAGAATTATACTGATCTGATCCCTGGAATAGCTACCGCCTCTCAGGGAGGTGGACTTTTCTTCTGTTGGCATAGGTAGGGTAGTGTCTTCACTGCAGCGGCACAGTGTGACTGCCGTGCTGTAAGTGCACACAAGCTCTTGGTAAACATGGTTACCTGGACCCCAATATGCTGGTGTGGTGCCTACATTTGTTGTGTAAAGAACAAAAGATGCAACAGTTGCTCTCTGACATTGTTAGCAGGTGTCTCGACAGATATAATCATTTCTGGGACCCGTTCTAGGGACAAATTAGTCTGGGTCAAAAACAGTAATATAGCTTCATTTTGCATATTGCCCACTAACCTGTTCCTTAATGCAGCTTTTAAAGTCTTTCCAAATTGAAAACATTTGGGGAACTTCCTTAATGCAGCCACACATTCAGAAAGTGTTTCATTTTCTTTTTGTTGTGTAAAGTGGAAAGACACAACAATCGCCAGAGAAAGATGTGCAGG